CGTCTCTCTCGTGTCTCTCTCTCTCTCTCTCTCTCTCTCTCTCTCTATGTATATATATATATATACACACACACACACACACACATATTCATATCTGTCAATGTATACATGCATTTGTGTATATATGTTTGCATATGTTTGTGTGTATGTACATACACATACCACACTTGTGTATATGAACACACACAGAGATATATATATACTGGATTTTTAAAAACTTAACTTTATGTAGAATATAAAATAAATTGTCCAAATTGATGGAATGCAACCTCTGGAATGAGACTATATCCCCTTTTCTATACAGTTAGACATGTAGAAAATATACAACAGGTCTGAAAGTAATGCAGTGAGAACCTGTCACTAAATCCACTTTTTCTTATTAGGGACCTAATAAAATCCTCTAACCTCCTGCTAAATGCTCGGGGATGAGTGTCTATTTGGATTCATTCTAAATTCCTTGCAGTATCCTGCTTCTCTTTTCTGTGGATTACCCTGCGTCATTCTGTGCTGGGATGGGGCCATTTCAAGACAAGTCACTTACAAACATTAAAGACACGACTACCTCTTCTTAATTTACAGGTGTTTGTGCCTTTACTCCTGTTATTCCATCAGTCTAGACTACCATTAGTATCATCTTCTGCCTCCTAAGACCTTCTGGAACTTTACCTGATCCCTCAGAAAGAAACAGCTATGTTTGCACAGTACACAGCATACATCTCTACTTAGCAAGGATACAATTCTTGCTACTGTGTCAACTAACTGCTTTCACATATGTCTCTCACCAGGCAGGAACCTGAATGGAATTATTCATAAGACAAACTGAGGCACTAGGTAGGGATTAAGAATTTTAGTGGGAATGGGACAGAAGCAGAGAAACATCAGGACTGGGGTCCCAGGAAGTAATGGAATGGAATTAGCTCAAGACATTATTCAGTGGGGCACCTCACACTCCTAATCGTTCCATGCAGCAGCATCTGAGATGATGTTTTTGGTTTTGGTTTGAACTGGGCTGGGACTCTCAGAGTAAGGATGCAAAAAAATTAAACACAACCCTTTTAAAAACCTATGTAGAGAGTTGAAGTTTCTTTCTACAGTGAGCAGATGTGCAAAAAATGGTTCCAGCCTCAGAATAGAAGCTAAAATAAAAAATAAGAAGCAGAGAACAATGCAGAGGTTAGAAAAACCAGCTCTCCGTGGTTGACAAGCTGACTGGACAGTGATGAGAGTAATACCAAATCCTAATTTCTAGTTGGTAGGAGCCCACTTTTGTAAAATAATTAGGTAGTTATCTACCTGGATGGATAGATAGATAGATAAATAGAGCTTAATACATAACACATGCAAAACTGGAATAAATACACAACGTTGTTAACAGCAGTTAACGATATCATGGGGCTAGAGAATAATTTCTATCACTATTATTTTTTCCATCTTTTCTGAGTTTTCAATGGAAATATGTCCTGTTTTCATAAACAGAAAAAGGTGATAAAAATGTGTGTGTGTGTGTGTGTGTGTGTGTGTGTGTGTGTGTGTTTCTTTTGACGAAACTGATAATTCTCACCTGGGGGCAGTTTTGTCCACCAGACAGCATCTGGAAGTGTCTGAAGACATATTTTGTTGTCACACCTGTGGCTTGTGCTACTGGCATCCAGTGGATAGAGGCCAAGAGTGATCCTAAGCATCCCACAATATATAGGAAAGGTTCTAAAATTCATTTGTATTAGAAGATATTATCTCTGTCTCATAAATACCCAAGTGAAAATAACCTTCTGGACTGACAGATATTGGAAAAGATGTTTCTTGTTCACCTTTATGTTTTATATACTGACTTGCAAAGATCCTAGTGTGTAACAAATTTTAAATAAATACATATTGGGTCTGAATTTCATTACAAGTATGTAGCTCTTCTGGACACAATAATATAAGCATAAAGATGCATAATGCATTTTAGAATAAGTAATTCAAAGATACATTTTCTGGACCCATCTAGAATTAAGAACTACAGTTGATTTAATTCAATAAGGGATTAGTGGGAACCTTCTGGGCATCTCTCACTTTGCCAGATGTTCTGCAGCATATGTAAGGAACATAGTATGCATTCCTTGACCTTGAAGAATGTGCAATCTAACCAAACAGACAAAACATATCCTGAGAAAATGGTTTTGTTCCAGAGCAAACAAGCACAAGGGCACATGCCAAAATACCTAATTAGTGAAATAGAAGTTTAAGGAACAGAAAAAAATCAATATGCCTGGAATTATCTGAGATAGCTTCATGGCAAACAGGAGAACTGAGCTGACTCTTAACAGACTGATGGATAGAATTTCAATATGACCAGCAATGAGGGGAAGATATTGTAAGGAAGAGAAAATAGCATGAATGAAAGAAAGTAAGATTGATCTTAGGTAGATTCACGGGGGAGTGAGAATACCAACCCTGGCTGAAACAGGTGACAGATTTGAACTGCTAGAAAGTAGCCAGATTATGGAGAGAATCAAATGAGTGACTATAAATAGGAACACCTTGTAAAATCATCTACACTGAAGATTGGGATAAAACATGCCATCTCCAAAGTTTGGAATTGTGTTTTTAGTCTCTATCACAAGTAAAGTGATTATTTAACCTAATATGGTTTAGCATCATCTCACCACCCATACAGAACTTTGTACTATATAAAGCAACCGTCTGGCCTACATAGTGCACCTAATATTCCACAGAAGTGACCATTAGCAAAGGCAAGCCAAATATAGCTGTAGCCCCAGGTAGCCTTTTCCCCCCTGTGACTACAGAGATAGCAAGAGTCCTCATTTCAGAAGAGCAATGTTCTAATTAGATAATTATTTTGATTACTTTAACTAATGTCCTAATATTGTGATTTTGTCAAGGGAATAAGAGAACAAGTATTCTCTTTGGTAAAGGAGTCTTGCAGAAGATAGAAACAAATAATGTTGTTAAGAATCATTAGGCTTAATTCAATGCACATATATGTTGAGCTAATAATTACATGGGAGAAGTAATAGATAATTCCCTCCAAAGAAACTTACGCCTAAACACAGTTTTCAGAACTCTCTCTACTTGTTAGGACACACTTATCTTTTCTGGTTGGAGATGCAGAAGAGAGAACTTTGGAGAATAAGTAGGCTTTATATTTGGGATAAGAAGAACTCCAGTGTAACAACAATTAATAATTACTAAAAACTCCCAGGATAGATGGACCAAAATCAAAGATTAGCATTATATACATTTAAACCTATAAATACTATAGTTAAATTAACTATAAAACAAGAATTCTTAGATCCTCTAGAAAAGAGGTTTTGGAAAATATTAACTCACGTACATCACTTTGTTGGTTAGGAATAGGTTCAGCTACGTATAACAGCCTTGTTTACAGTAGTTCAGCCCAATGGAGATTTCATTTTTTTCAAAGAGAATCTGAGAGGAAAGTAGGCCATGGCTCTTATTGGCAGCTCCATGATGCCATTTAGGACAAAGCTCCTTCTGGTCATTTACATGACTTCCAGTTATGCTGCCTTGTCAAAAAATGTCACATGAACCATCCTCTAGTTGATAGGTAGGCTGAGAACATTTTCAACTGTGTACACTGCAGTCCCAAATAAAAGTAACATGTAAGGAGAAGAATTGTGAAGGTGAATTAGCAAATACTATTAACAACACAAATCAGTGATTATGTATAGGAAGACTCCAGCCATTATAAAATGTTTGTTAAAGCACTGATAAGTAAATTGGGTAACATGTAAGTACAATATCTGGGTACCACTTGAAGTCCATTTGCCAGGTTTTCTTGAACGAGGTCATTTTGTGCCTTTAAGCTATGTGGGTTTATGTCTTTTAGTCTAATGGATTTCTTGGAGAACAGCCCAAGCACAGCTTGCATCCATTCATAGAAAATATTTGTATGGAATTGCTAGGCCTACAAGGGGAAGAGTTGATCTTCCAAGATTTCCACTGAGAAAATTACCATTTGGCATATCCCTGATGGCAAATGACAAAGCTAATTCAGGGAAGTGAAAAAGAGGGAAAATGAAGGTACGGCACAATACTTTTACCTTCCCTGGTGCTTTCTGCTTTTGCTGAGAAGGAAGCAAGTGGTGGAATTTAAGAGTTGTCAAGTTCCTGGAAAACAAAAAAACAGCTAAGTATCCAACAGTATCTGGCACACAGTAGATATGCAAGTATATTTGTTGAATAAACCTTTTGCCTGTTTACTGTATCAACGAGTACACAGAAGCTGGCTTTAAGGATGCAGCCTCCATTCACTTTAATGAAGTCAAATATTTAGTCAGCATCCATTCCATATGAATAAAAACTCTGTGAGGAACCCATAGGAAATGCTTACTGGCATCTCTTATGCCAAAGTCTTGCCCTGTCTTTAATGTGACGTGGAACATTAACTGGCATCCAGTGTTAATTGATCAAATCTAGAGGAATTGTTTTCTATGCCATTTGGCAACTAGGCAGATTATTAACACTGTGAAGTCAATTTAAAGTCATTTTTAAGTGTTTAAAATCATCTTATAGTTTCCTAAATTAGCATGGAAGTCAACTTGAAATGGTGATTAGGGGCTATCAGTCAATATATCAGTTGATCAAGCACTGAATTGGTGTCGAGGGTCATTTGAAGATGCACAATTGACAGTCCTTGCCCCTGACCACTTATGATCCATTTAGGGAGACAATATGCGTGCGGGGGGATGGAAACACATAATAATGTCAGTTATATATACAACTTGTCAAATTAATATAACAAAGAACAGTAAATGTTTCATTTTGCCCAGAATTCCAATAAATTTGGGCTTTGCAAAATTGGAAACATGGACCAAATATAACACATGATGCAACCCAAATTTTGAGACCTTGATGGAAGAATCAAAGCACTTTGAAGATCAAAGAGTACAGTTTGGCGCAATCTATAGGGATGTCACTCGGCACCACAGGCGGAAACAAAAACAATGATTCTGTTTCTTCTTTTTTTAAATTAGGTCATGGAACTAAAGGCGTATTTGAGCTTCTGTCCGGATGGCGGAGAACCAGAGAGAATTTGCCCTTCAAAGACAGGGTAGCAGATGCCTATTCCGATGTGATGGTCACCTATACCATGACCAGCTCCCTGTACTTCATTACCTTTGGCATGGGGGCCAGCCCATTCACAAACATAGAGGCTGTGAAGGTCTTCTGTCAGAACATGTGTGTGTCCATTCTGTTGAACTACTTCTACATTTTCTCTTTCTTTGGCTCCTGTCTGGTCTTTGCTGGCCAACTAGAGCAAAACCGCTACCACAGCATCTTTTGCTGTAAGATCCCTTCTGCAGAATACCTGGACCGCAAACCTGTGTGGTTCCAGACAGTGATGAGTGATGGGCATCAGCAGACATCTCATCATGAGACAAGCCCCTACCAGCATCACTTTATTCAGCACTTCCTCCGTGAACACTACAATGAATGGATCACCAATATCTATGTGAAGCCATTTGTTGTCATCCTCTATCTCATTTACGCCTCCTTCTCCTTTATGGGGTGCTTGCAGATCAGTGATGGAGCCAACATCATCAATCTACTAGCCAGTGATTCCCCAAGTGTTTCCTATGCCATGGTTCAGCAGAAATATTTCAGCAACTATAGCCCTGTGATAGGATTCTACGTTTATGAGCCCCTTGAATACTGGAACAGCAGCGTCCAGGAGGACCTACGGAGACTCTGCAGTGGCTTCACTGCTGTGTCCTGGGTGGAGCAGTACTACCAGTTCCTGAAAGTTAGCAACATCAGTGCCAATAACAAAAGTGACTTTATCAGTGTCCTACAAAGTTCATTTTTAAAAAAGCCAGAATTTCAGCATTTTCGCAATGACATCATCTTCTCCAAGGCAGGGGATGAAAACAACATCATTGCTTCTCGCTTATATCTGGTGGCAAGGACTAGCAGAGACAAGCAGAAGGAAGTCATAGAAGTGTTGGAAAAATTGAGGCCCCTGTCCCTGTCAAAAAGCATCCGATTCATCGTGTTCAACCCCTCCTTTGTGTTCATGGACCATTACAGCTTGTCTGTCACAGTGCCTGTTCTGATTGCAGGCTTTGGTGTTCTCCTGGTGTTAATTCTGACTTTTTTCCTGGTGATCCACCCTCTGGGAAACTTCTGGCTAATTCTTAGTGTCACCTCAATTGAGCTGGGCGTTCTGGGCTTAATGACATTATGGAACGTCGACATGGATTGCATTTCTATCTTGTGCCTTATCTACACTTTAAATTTCGCCATTGACCACTGTGCACCTCTGCTTTACACGTTTGTATTAGCAACTGAGCACACCCGAACACAATGTATAAAAAGCTCCCTGCAAGAGCATGGAACAGCCATTTTGCAAAATGTTACTTCTTTTCTTATTGGGTTGGTCCCCCTCCTATTTGTGCCTTCGAACCTGACCTTCACACTGTTCAAATGCTTGCTGCTCACTGGGGGTTGCACACTTCTGCACTGTTTTGTTATCTTACCAGTGTTCCTAACTTTTTTCCCTCCTTCCAAAAAGCACCACAAGAAAAAGAAACGCGCTAAACGAAAGGAGAGAGAGGAAATTGAATGCATAGAAATTCAAGAGAACCCTGATCACGTCACCACAGTCTGAAGGGTGTAGACTAACGGATTATTTTTCTTTTCCAGTATTGCACAATGATGCAGGGCGAGTAAAGCTCAGACCTCAGCTGCTTGGGCTGGCCAGGGGTAACAAGGCAAGTCAGATCAAGAGTGAATTATTCATGACACATCAAGGTGTCCACTTCTTTGGGGGACGAGGGAATCAAAGAAGGGGAAAAAGTTCTTTGCAACCTTGTTCTCCACTAAAGATAAGTTTCTGGATGTGATTTTAGAGCTCTTGCAAGGAACGGATGAATCAAAGAAGTTAGAAAGCTGAAATAACCAACTGCTTTTAAAAATAAAATGCTTAGGAGAATGGAAAAGAGAGGAAAGGGGTGACTCCAAATATTGAAAAAGACATAAGAAATGTTAAGATGCTGTGGCACTTTCCATATTTGTTCTTTGAACAGATTAGTCAAAGGAAACCTATGCACTTGGGAAGTACATATTTAATCCCATCTAAACCAAAGGACTTCCCAATCCATTTTATGTTACCTTTATATGTATATGTGCAATATATACATATACTTAGATTTATCTTTAGTGTACATTGACATTTGTATGGAGGAAGGTGTCCATTTGCAGACAGGCTGGTATTTCTCTGGAAAGTCACATCAGCCTTAGCCAAACATAACTGCATAATAACCATTCAAAATCAACTCAAGTGTTTCAGCAGCAAGAGTGCTATTCAACTGTATGATAAGCAAATAAACAGAGATATGAGTCCATTCAGTTCTTGTTTGGGTGACTTAGCAAAAAATACAAAAGACATTAGAATTAATTACAACATGAACAAGGTTCAAAGTGTCATGTTGGAGCTAAGTAGTTGATATGGATTCTTATTGACTTCTCATGGTTCTCTGTATTTTGGAATATTGATTTGGCTGCTTTCAGAGAACTCACCTCTGCAAATGAACACTTAAGACATGTTGCCCATACATATGTGTATAAGGGTGCCTGTGTGCATGTGTGTGGGGGAGTTCCATAGTTATAATATTCTGATGGTAAAAATGTACTGCCCTTGAATATAGGTAATTCACAGAGGAGAAAGGAAACATAACTAGGAGACTTGTAGAGTGAAACAGAGTAAATGGACCATCACCACTCACGTGCCATCAACCGGTTCTTAGTATAAGGAAAATATTCTAATCCTATAAAGTCTAGTGTGTTCCTTGCATCAGTTTTTGGAACATCAACCCAGGCCATGATCACTGTAGTAGTATAAATATGTACTCTAAGAGGTACTCACCTACTGCAATATCGTTTTGTAGCTTCTTGCAATATCATTGTTCTTGTTAACCTGGAAAGTGCTCCTAGGTTGGCCCACCTCGTAGGGTGATTGTAACTGTCCACAGGCGGCATATTAACTGCTGCTGAATTCTCTCTCTGAGAAAGTACTGAGGTAAAACGTTTTCATTGAGTTCAAGTTTAAAACTGCTCCCCAGCAGATAGACTCAAGTCTGTTGGGTGCTTACTGTCACAGAAAATTACTAGAAAATGCCTTTTCCCATGCCAAGCAGTAAAATAATTCATTTTCAGGTAGGACTGAACAAATATCCAATGATTAAAAATATGCTAGTAAGTTCTTTGACCTGGAAGAGAGCTACTGTTTCCCACTAACATTGGGCATATAGTTTAATTGAATTTAAAATATTAAAATCTAAAACACAAACACAAAAACTTCCTGGACTCAGTTAAGTTCAAAAAAGAGATACAAACCATTCCATTCTGATTGCAGTCTTTGGAAGTGAAGTTGATAAATTAATGAAATAACAAAACAAGTGTACTTTTGCAAATAGTTTATCAGAATATTAAGGGAAAGGAGAATGGTCTCTAAAATAAAAAACATTTAACAAAACTTTATTTTATAAATTGAAGTTTGTTTTGTCCTACCTTGAGATTACTGACTTTCTATTAGAAATGATCCACGTCTTCTCAGTTGTGTTCATCTGGGCAGAATATCGATATATTGATAATGGAAAAAAAATGCCATAAATATAGGGTTATTATTCTTACATTATTTGAAAAGTCATGTCACAGATAACCCTAGCCTTTTGCTTCCTGAACTGCTCTGTTAAGATGAACTGGTCTTTGGCACTAGTTGACCTTCAGACCATGATCTCATAACTGAAGTAAAAATTTCTGAGTGGGGTTTTTTGGGGAAAGGGGCATTCCTCCTTCACAGCTTACTCACCCTTTGTGAACATCTGTTTTATATCTCCTTCCAAACATGGGAGGTATCCACTGAGAAATTCCATTAACTCTCACTCTTAATTTTTTTCAAGTGTGCCATAGTCTTCTCATTTACCAAGTTTTACACAGCTTGCCCAGTTGGGTCACTTTTCTTCTTGGTTACCTTACACAATTTTACATGCAAAGAAGATGGGCAGGCTGATTTATAAAGAATGAAGCATGCCAGTTGCCAAATAAATATGGAAATGATGGCATATATTGCCAAACCACTGGAGCAGTTCTTTCTTATTGTTCAAGAGACTAGAGGGGTAGAATTTTGGAAGGGACATTATGTTTTCCGGAACACCATGGTACTCCTTAGTGAACTGCAGCAATAATTTATTGAAATGGAATTTCTTGTTCTGGAAGAGTTAATATACCACCCAAAATGCCCTAACTCAGTCCTTGGAAGTAATTTAAGCCCAGGAAGAAGCTAACTGAGCATTATCTGACCTCCTAACCTCACTGTGAAACATATTTCCAAGAAGTCCATTTACTGAATGCCAAGATACACCTTAGAATATGAGATCATGATTTGCAGGTAATGCCCAACCACTGCCTTTTTCAGTAGCTTGTGTGCAATTTTCCTAGTTTTTCAAATTACACCCATTCTTTTGTCCATTTGTAAACTACTGATGGTGTTCAAGTTAGAAGATAACCAATCAATTCCTAGAAGAAAAGAAACCTGTGAGAAGTATCTCAGATATGCAGAATGTCTTATTTAGTTGAAACATATTTTTCCCTTAAAGAGAGGGATTTTAAAAGTTTTCAAAAACCACACCTTTCCTGAATTTAAAGTGGACCATGAATTTGTCTCTTTCCACAAGAATGTAGATTTGAATTAGAAAGTATCATTAAGAGTTCCACTCTCCATGACTACCTCTAAGAGGTACTCACCTAAATTATAGAAAAAGATTTGATTTAGCTAAAAGTTGCATTACTTGTTTTAATGAAAGGTGTGCTTAAATGTCATCCTATGAATTCTTGCAGGGATGTTGAACCTCTCTGAAAGTTGCATATGAATATTCTATGAAAGAATTACTCTCCACTGTGGTTGTATCATTTGAGTTTTCCATTCCTACTTGATTCATATTTATTTCCACAGAATTTTGGTTTTACCTTGTGATGTTAGAAGAATTATTACAAGTGAAGCTCCTATGATGTTAACAATAGCCATTCTTGAATGGTGAATTCAAGAAATTGAGAGCTTTGTCCATTTTGTAATTACCCATTGCACTTTCTCTTAATAAGCTAATCCTTCTAGGCTTGTGGTTAGAGCTAGGGATTAACTATTGCCATTCAGAATTACATGTATTTTTATAAGTTGACTGTAAATATCATAATTACAGTCACGTATTTTTATGGCCAAATAGTTACGAATGCTTGGCACTATGCATGCATTGTTACTAATAGTACATAGATTTTTTAAGACACTATTTTCATGGTTATTACAACTTTTATTAAAATTCTCTTATCACCTATTCATAAATGCCTTTAGGTTTTGGTCCAAGGGCCTGAAATCCACAAAAAGTTCCATCCCAGAGGGAACAATTTTACAAATTGCCTTCCCTGGGTGTCAACGACAGCAGCATCTTGAATTACAGAGATTAAATCTGGCTTCCAGGTAAAGGACATAGCAGATTCTGTGCTAGTCAGTAATTAAGCATGCTTATTGTCCTGTGTTTGCTAATCTCACGGTGAGCCAGAGAATGAAATGCCTTGAGACTGGAATCTAGATGTTGTCTCCTATAGACTGGAGAACTCAATTATTTTCTCAACCTTTTTTTCTAGAGGAATCTCTCTATTCAGTTTATTTTGTTCGTGTTTGACAATCCTTTAAATGTGAACCTGAAAATTGTCATTTGTTCCAAAAGAGACTTAAAAGCACTTTTATTCTCTTAAAAAAAAAAGAAAACAAACAACAAAAACACTTCTTGCTTTTTCTGTATTACAAAACAGTTTGTGACAAATTGGTATGCTCTTGAAATCTCCCCATCTTGAATCTAAATATAAAGCTCAGCATCATTTCTGTGGTGCAGGCATTTACACCAACCTTTCAAGTAATGATTTGCCAATATACTATGTTGGGGGGAAATGAGCTTGATTTTTCATTATTGGTTTGTCTTCAAAATCATGACTGCAAATGTATTTACCCAAAGGAAAGCTGAAAAATCATAAATGAAAGAAACAAAGCATCTTTGTAGCAGGTCCAGCATGGAAGGGACTATATATGGATATACAGCCATACATTACTCTGATTTCTAAACCAAATGGCCAAGGTTTGACTCACCATCATTTATTAGGACAAGAGATGGTGTTCTGTGTTTGAAGTGTTGTTGAGTTGGATTAGGCAACATTTGGAATAGGACTGAGAGGGTGATAAGAAAGGAGCCCACAGGCTGAGAAATCAAGGTGTCTGTAAGTGAGTGTGATAGGTGGGAAAATTCCATTTGTTTTACAGTTTTAGAATACAGCACAGAATTGCTTGGTACCTCAAAACTATAGAATCTTGACTGCTAGCAAAACTGATCATATGCAAATGCATCCCGCTTGGAGACTGTCTTCTCATTTGTCAGATATATAAGCTGATCCTTGTGGGGGAAGTGCTCCTCAGTTTCCAAGCATGAACCAGAGCCACAGACATTTTGTGGGTGAAAATGGGTACTGGGGAGACTCCTTGAAAAGAAGCTTCAACTAAGCTCCCAGCTAAGCATCATTCATTCCCCGGATGACTGTTGACATTGCTGTGATTTTTGTGCATCTTTGAGACATACTGAATACTTTTCTGATGTTTCTCTGTACTTAAAGAGGACCTCTCGGTTGCCGAAAGAGAAGTCCTTTGTTTTCCTTATGTAATGGAAAACAGTTCAAAGAAATATATAGGGTCAAAAATCATATACTAGAATAGTACGGACTAGTCTATGGATCACATAGTGTCTACTGCACTTCTAAAGATATTCCCAGAATTAAATGGTCTTATACCCTAAAGCAAGAAACTCTGTAAGATAGATATTTTTAATATAATCAAGTATTTATTAAAAAAACAACTCATTGCTAATTTCGCACTTTTATAAACTATAGAAATTCAGGCACTACCATTTTTCCCAGTTGAAGTTTTCCCTAAGAAAGTTCTCACAGGTCGGGCTAATTATGAAGTCGTAAAAAATCAGAAGGAAACTTTAAATACAGAGGAGTACGAACACCTGCTGGCTATGTGTGTTTGTACTTATCTGAACTGGGATTTTAGAAGTCATTTGTAACTGTGTTCTGGCTAACGACCGCACGGCTAGATAAACAGTATGGTTTCCTTTCCTTCTATTTCCATAGTGATTACAGCCACCACATTATCCACAGGGTTCTGGCAAACCTGTGGAAAGATAAGAACATGAATGTTTTGGAAGATTTTGCTGAAGCATTTCTTAGCAGTAACAAGAAAAGACTGCCATGGGTCAAAGACAAGAGGAGTGTATTCCAAGCGTGTCACTTCCCAGTCCTGTATAAATTTGTTAACTTAGCTTTTGGCAGAGGCAGACTACAGTATGCTGTGAAAGCATTCAAGCTAACACAAGATGGTCAATAGAATCTCCCCTGGAAACTCAAAGAACTTCCATCGTGCTATTTAGCCAATGCACTGATTACTGGTATCCACAATAAGAGGTCTGAAAAAAGACCCGGATGCCCTGGTGCAGTCTGCAACATATTGCAAAATATTTTGAAATGGAATCAGGAAATTTTGGCATCTTTTCTTCTCAAACACAAAAGTGCTAGGTACTGATAAATTAGACCTTAGGTACTGATAAATTAGACCTTAAATTCACTAATGCAAATAGCCCAAAGTTTCAGTGAAATTTAAGCAATGACTTTATTATACTCTCCTGTTAATTATGCATACTTCTCAGCAATAGACTTTCTTGCTCTTAAATAGGAAATCTGTCACAGCTTGAAAAGGGCAGAGTTCTCTTCAAGCTACCTCACAAAGGTAATTAAAGACAAAATGGCATGCAACCTTTGATTAAATGGCAATATATTAAGCCACAAAACAGTATTATTTATCACCTCTCCTTGATGCTCTTTCACTTTTATAAATTTAGACCAGACATAATGTAAGAGGACTACCCCTGTGTGCAGTGTGGCTTGTGCACTCTGTTAATATAGTATCTATTACTATGAAATCTCTCAGGGCTGTTGTTTGGTTGTGTCTTCACAGACCCTCCAGAGTACGAAACTTGGTTCAGAAAGAGAATAACCAGATACTGACTTTGAGGCAGTGGTCTACCTAGTGAGGTGCACAATCAAACAATTTGTGAATAACTTCAGTAAAAATTCTAAGTGCACTTCTTATTACTGGAGGGGCCATCCAGTTTGTTTGCTTGTTTACTGTAAGCAAATAGAAATAAAGTTACTTGTTTATTGTAAGCATATTGAAAGAGACAAAAGTACTAGTTATGGGCATTTTACTCATGTTTTCTTTGCCACCGGATGCCATTACTATTAATTATGGCTACATTAGGGTTCTGAAACACAGATTACTTTCGGAAACACAGACTCGGTAAGGAGACAACTACTAGGAGGAGACACTCCTCGTCCATTCACAGACAGACTGTAGGAATGAGAGTAAACGTTGAGCACTTTTATTTCCTGTTCTTTCCTAAAACAAAAGCCCACTTGCTCTTAATCCTGGCTATACAAAATGCTAACTTCTATAACAAAACTAAGAAGAATGGAAGTATGAAATCGTAAAACTCCATTGTCTTCTCAATACAAACCTCATGGCAAACCTCCATTTTCAGATGTCCTTATAAAAACATTTTTTAAAAATGTTCCTTGGCATATAGGTTTTTACCAACTCTCATTCATGAA